CCGTAGGCCTGCGCTAGCAGGCCTTAACTGTTACGGAAGCTCTCGGTAAGGAAGTAATTGACAAGCAGCTGGTTTAGGCATTGGAGATGTGACAACGCTCATCTGGAATACGAATTTCGTGCGCAGCTTGAAGATCGCGTGCAACGCAGCAACGAAAATTTGCAGTAGTGAACCCTTGTGGTAGAGTAGCTTGTTTAAAAGTATACCAGTCTGTACCTGCCCTCATTGAAGGGAACCTAGTGCAGACATTCAATGACGACATCTACGACCTTGGAGTCAGAGCTGCTGTGAGGCTCGGGTACCACGAGACGCTTAAGGATGCTTTGGCCCATGCACTGGAGGTGAAAGCTGTGCGGCAGGATCATCGTTCCCATCGCGTCAGGGAGGCTGCAGGAGCTACAGTTCGCGACCGCAATAAAGGATACAGCACTAGGTGCTACGGCTGTGGGGAAAAGGGGCCATCTTCGATCCAGCTGCCCTAAGCGAACTGTAGAAAGGGAAGGTGATCGATCTTGAGAGGGTAGAATATAATTGAATAGAATAGAATATTTTTACTCAATATCGATTACATGTAGTTCTTATTGAAAGTCATTTTTTACTTTACCAGTGATTCGAAAAAAAAAAACCTCAGTCCTGGGACCAGCAAGAAACCCAGGGGAATTTTTTTGAATAAATTTTACATTGTCAATACGTCTGATAGTGTGGATTATAGCACCGCCCAGCAACAGCGATTCTGAAATAGATGAAGGCCAGTGCTCCCAAGCCAAGTGGAGCGACGTCTCAGCAATGAGTTCGATCACGAAAGGCTTGCTGATTAAGAATGGAGGCCTGTGCCGTAAATGGGAAAATGGTCGAGGAGGCAACTGTCATTTGCAAATGGTTGTCCCTAAAGCTAAAGTACCGTATGTTCTACAGCTGTATGCATGTGTATGTGTCCATAATGATTGTTCAGGAAGCCATCTGGGAGTTAAACAAACTCTACTGAAGATCCGAGAACGGTTTTACTGGGTCCACTGTCGAAACGATGCCGAGGACTGGTGTCGCAAATGTACAAGTTGTGCGGCCGTAAAAGGACCTCAGACTCGTAGTAGAGGTGCATTGAAAATGTACAATATTGGTACACCATGGGAGAGAATAGCCATTAATGTGGCGGGATAGTTTCCGATGAAAAGTGGAAGTGGTAACAAATATTTCATGGTTGTGTTGTATTACTTCACTAAGTGGTCAGAAGTCTTCACCATTGTAAATCAAGAAGCTTTAACAGTAGTAGGTAAACTAGTTCATGAAGTGGGGGGAAGGGGGGGACATAGACGGGAGTCCCCCCCGTGACCATGGTTGCTGTAAAGCACCCTTTCGACGTTTCCGTCGGGAATTAAAAATAAGTACAATCAGTTAAATAAACGCGATAGAATCCGTAAATTTAGTTTTATTCAATAGTTCATGAAGTCTTCTGTCGTTTTAGTGTACCCCTGGAGATTCACAGCGCTAAAGGAAGGAATTTTGAGTCTCAAATAATCCAGGAAATTTGCTTAGTTGTGTGTACTCATAAAATAAGAACAACTTCTTACTACCCACAATCTAATGGAATGGTAGAACGATATGATCAGACATTGGAGAGGTATCTAGCAAAAGTTGTGGCAAATCGGCAACAAGATTGGGACAAGCACATACAACCGTTTTTGTTGCCACATCGAAGCGCTGTTCACAAAAGTACATCAGTGACATAAGCTTTCGCAAACTTTAGGAGAGAATTACGTATGCCTGATCACCGGAACAATACCTGATACACCACGCAGTATAATCGATTGTGCGAATGACTTGCACAACAAAATGAATGACATTTATGAGCATGTCAAACAATCGGGGCTGCAAATGTCTGAAAAGATGAAAACCCGTATGACCACAAAATGAACAACAAAGGGTTCGACGAAGATTCACTAGTGGAGTTGCACAATCCAGTCCACAGCAAAGCGAAATCGCCTAAGCTTCAAGCTAAATGAGACGGACCGTACTGGATTGTGACAAGGATCAATGACGTAACCTACCGGGTACAGAAAGGTGCAAGAGGTGCTAAGATCGTCCATGTCGAGGATCGACTGGTGTGTTATTATGCGGCTAGTATTGCTCGTGACAAGCATGTCTTAGGAGGGGTCAGTGTAGAGCACCATAATTAATGCCACTAGCACCATCTAGCATCGAGTAGCAAAACTAAGAGAGTTCTCTAGAAAATTCTTTACAAGAACTTACAACACATAGTCTGTCGGGATCGGTATGTGCTCAAATATTCTAGATTTTTCAATGGAAAAGCCGTATATATTGCCAGTTAGGACCGCGACCCAGTCAGTGCACGACAGTGACCAAGTGGCAATGCAAGTGAATATTTTGACGCGATATAACTGCGAATTGTCTTTTATTATTGTATTTTGTATAGTTTTAAGTTGTTAATGGGCAATCGGCAGTTTATGTTGTCACGAACCTCAAGCTCGTAACAATATTAAACATGGCCTGCAACATGCAAATTAAAAAATGCAATAAGAACCATCCTATAAAGAAGGTATCAAATACCAAAATATTTAACCACACTGATGAGAGCCTATAACACTTCGAAATTGCTTTTCTATAGCGCACTGTACCGTAGTCGATAAATATACAAATTTTTTGTATAATTCTCGTGTATTAATAACGTCACGGACTTTGTCATGTACATAAGGGTAAATTTCTTCATTAGAATTGGGTGCTTATTTTTTATAGGTTGAAGTATATTTATGAACGCAAAACCAGTTTTGTATGGATCCCATTAAACCGGACATAAGCACGAGAGTCTCTTTAAAGTAAAGTAAAATTAATAACATAATCGGGAAGTGCTCAACCCAAACGGCGCCAGCGTCTGTCACATATCATTTCCATGTTTTATGCTTTCTTTCTCAGTAATCGTTCACAGTACGTTGAAATATAAAATTTAGATCAAGTTTCAAAAATCATAACACGTGTCAGGTTGAGGGCCCCGCCGTTGTGGGGCTCTATCCCTCAGGGTCCGTAGTTGCATGTGTCCTCTTCGTTATTTACATCAATGACCTGCCCAAGGTTATTGATGAGCATTGTGTGATGTTTGCCGACGATTTTTGCGTTGTGTTCTCTTGTATCAATAGTACCAAATGTAATAAAAGAATCGACATAATTATAAATAAAGTAGAACAGTGACTAAGCGAACAGACCACAACAAAAAAATTACTATACATAAATTATAAGTATAATCAAACAAAATTAGAATGTGTTAAAACTTTTTCTTTTCTGGGTATGAATATGGTACTAATGTTAATTTTAAACAATAAAAAAATCTACAAATATAAAAACAACACAACACAAGCGTGGCTAAACTCCGTAGTTTTGGTGTAAACGTGACGCCATCGTCATACTGTGGGATTACGGTGTAGAATCACACGAACTTTTTATTAAAAAAAAATTTAAACGCGTACTTACAAACATCAATCAAAGAGAAATCTGTAAACCTCTGTGTAAGTTTGTAAGAAAGCACCCAAATATTTACACCAAAATCATATACGCACCCCGGTACAGCGTAACTCGCTATAAAAATAAGCGTAAAATCAAAACTGAAATTACACAGTTCAAGACCTCACACGGTATCAATTATAATTTATAATAGAATTGCCAGAGTACCTAAAAGTCGAAACAATTATTAATAAATTATAAACTCTTTTAAAAATATACTTATTAAAAAAGTTACTTATCAATTAATGAATACATTAAGAAAATATTTTTGAGTGTCTGTCCCTCTCCTGTTCATCGCTATGCTTTTCGAGGTGCATATACTTGCATGTTTTGTTTAGTCGCTAATTGTTTATTCATTTATGTGTAATTACGTGATAGAAATAAACTGATATGAACACCCCATCCACTTCTAAATCCAGCTTGCGAATTCCAAATTTTACCATCAGTTTAATTCTCCATCTATTAACATGCTGATTTCACGGTAGTTTTTTTACAGTTCTGTTGAAATTATTTGCCCTTATACAGTGAGCCTATGACAGATTTACAACAGTCTCCCGGTCTACTCGTATTTGCAATTAATATATCATCCAAAAAATCAAACAAAATGTACCTGATAGGCAATTTTATGTATGTATTTAATGTCACTGTAAATAGCCCGGAGTGCATTTGGAATGACATTCATTGCGCCACCTACCTTAAAAGAAGAAAAACATCTGCTCGACGAGGTGGCAAATAGTATGGTCACTTACATTTTTAATATGTTTTTAAATAAGGTCAATCACACCTTTGAAAAAAAAATTTACGAAATTTATTTAGTAACATATTTTATGCTCGCTATAACGAATTTACCCTAATCAAATTTTCAAAGGTGGGGAAGTAAATGTCAGGTAAAATAAAATTACCTACTGGAAATAGAAAAAAATGAGCGAATTTGCATCTAAGCTTGCCATCTAATACAATGTATGACTGTATTTATAGGCTGCTATTATATTACCATATGTATGTGATCATATATCTATGATTATATACATATGTTAATGTAATAGCGGTGTAGGTTATAACCCTTTCAGACCGGCGCCAAAACTAGACAGAATTCGTCCGGAAAAAAAGTCACACTTGCCACAAAATGAGCAATTGCAAATCTGAGGTCGCTTTTCCGATTTTTCGATTTTCCGGCCGCCATCTTGGAAAATTGTAGCCCACACAATTGTATGATCAGGGGCCTAAGATAGCAAACCCACAATCATGAAATCGCGCAATTGGATCAAGACGGGCTAAAGCTTACAATATGTTTGAAATAAAACAAAATTTTAATTGACGAATATATTGTTTATTAGCCAAAAATCAACATAATTTCAAATGTATGCATGCACAATCAATAAGTATTCATAGAAAATTAGTTAACAATTACCTCTTATCAACACTAATCAGTCTCTAAAGTGTAGATTCAGTCTTAAAGTAATTATAAATGAGATTAATCAAGTAAAACCTTAGTTATGGAAGTCATAAAAGCAATTTCTGTCCTTCGTGAGGAAAAGATAAACATCACATTTAGAACATCGACAACGTGTTCTACTGGTACACTTTATAGCGCGGCAGACTCGAGGCTCTTTCAAGGTATCCATGACTGGCCAGTGATTATAACCATCTCTTTGCTTGTCAACGGATGGTAAAGGCTTTGGACGATATCTTGAAGAGCTGGGCATTTCTGCAAACTCTGGTTCTCGATTATCTCCAGCAGCCCTTGGTGAACCTGCTAAAAGGTATTCACTTACACTTAGACGAAAAGCCAGGAGGTCTAGGATGTCCTTAGTCTTCATTTTGTTTGCCCTGCAATCTTGTCTATACTCCATCCAAGAGTTGACTATGGACAGGTCAAACAAATGTAGGATAACCTTAACTGTCCATTTTCTTGATTTAATCCATGTATGATAGTTTTCCATCTGGTCACAGGCCACTCCTCCCATAAAAGCGTAGTAATTTTTTACAACCGATGGACAGGAAACCTCGATGTATTGCCCTGATTTCTTTTCCTACCTAGGAACAACGGATACGGGCTCACTACCAAAAGCTGTCGAAGTCATCAACACACCTTTATTGTCCTTCCATTTTAGAATACAGATCTTTTCATCAGCGCTCACAATCTCTTCGTATTCACCTCGTTTCATAGCCGCATCCTTTTTAAATTCATACTTTGAATTTTTTTTTGTATTGAAACGGTTCATCATCAAGGTTCCTGTTCCATCCATATTTTTTTTTCTCGAGCTCCTGCATCAATGGCAAAGATGAGAAGTATCTATCAAAGTAAAGAAAACTTCCTTCTGGTAGAGTGCTGGCTAGTCGTAAAACGACAGCAGGTCCCATTACAAATTTTTCTGAATCAGGTAAATTGGTAGTGTTTCCTTGCTAAATTTCGAAATCTAATAGTTTCCCTGTGGAGGTAGTAACGGTGAAATTTTTCAAGCCCTCGGGGTGGGGTTTATTTTTTACAACCACTTTTACCCCCACGCACCTTCCTCCAAATGGAACCATCTGTTCATCAATCGAATAGTGGATATCTTCGCGGGGCAGCTGCGGACAACGATTACGTACGGAGTCAATAACAGGTTGAACACTCCATAGTTTGTTCTTTGCTTGCTCCACTTCTTTGTTCACGGCATGAACGTTTAGAACATGCAGATTTACCCTGAGGAGAAAAAATCTATCTTTCGACATAGCACTTGCTATGGGGTCGAACTTATAACGCTGGTTCCAAAACAATTTAATTCTTGGATAACTAAAGCACCCCATTAAACCGTGGATGCCAAAAAACTTTTTGATTTCCCCAGAAGTACAAACGGGCTTCAACTAATGTCCAGTTTCAGTCATATAATATTGATTAGTGGCTAGCGCAAACTGTTCCATTAATTCCAGCGCGAAGTAGCCTTCTAAGTATTGCGCTGGAGTTAATACTGCGTGTAGTTTAGGGCCCGAGACCCCTGGTATCGATTTACCATCAAATTTCTTCTTCTTCCATCGCAAATTTGACAGTGGCACGTCTTCATCGCTGCTACTTGAAGACTGAGACTCATATGGGAAAAGAATACTAGTTCCTTGGCCTGGAAAAGGCATGTCCTGCTGCTCTTCATCATCACTACTCTCATCCCTGGAGCCATTTAGGAATCCTTCAATCTGATCCTCGTGTAAGAACCGTGCCATTATTGTAAAAATCTGCAAAATAAATAAAACACCTCTTAGAGTTAAGAGATAGCCTTCGGCCCCACTTCATACGATTGTGTCAAAAAAGTTCTGTAACTCGTCACTGAAGCTTAATTACCAATTACATTGTAAAAAATCACAAAAGTGGGTGAAAAAAACGTTTAAGTGATGTTACGTGCAAAAAACTTTATAAATAACTACGAAATACTTATATAATTCTACTTACATTCACCAAAGCCGGGACCGAAAAAAAATCGCAGTACTAGGCTCACGCGCAATCGTGTGAGATCGAGCCCGTTCGTATAGAATAAATAGTTTTTGAACAAAATTGAATCTAGTAAACCACACAATCATGTAGGGCCAGTTCTGAAAGGGATAGGTATATAATTGTACTGAATAAAGAATTTCAAGATGGTTGGGAGAGTTAGAGGAGGGAACTTTTATTAATTTATATTTTTCATTAAAATTACGACAGTTCCAGAAGATCTTTTCAATATTCCGTGCTTTCTAGGGTTATAGTTTTTTGGTTATTGACTGTTAAAAAATAGGTCTGTTTTTAATAAATATTGCAATTTAAAACAGCAACACGAAGGGAACCAAAGCTACAAAGCAAATAATGTTAATGTAAAACCCTTCACTGGATATTTATATGACTATATGTATAAGCTTTCACGATTTTACACGTATTGGTCGTCGAACTCTAAATTTTGTCTCTTATTAATTGTTTTTTTTTTAAATATATTTTGCTACACGGGTGTACACCCGTGTACTCAAGGGCTCAAAACGCTAACAGATAATACTATTGTCTGTGACCAAAAAATATTCACGTTATTGTGTGCCTTTAATTTCTTAGTGCTTTAACTTTTGTAATTATTTATTTTGTAAGCAGTTTATAACTTTAATTAAAATAAGGATGTCATTAAGGGAGCAAAGTCTATTATCGTCTTAACGATTAACTTTTCTATCAAAGCCAAAGCGGCAATTATTTCACCTTTCTGTTTATCTATAATTTGAGTTTCCGTTTATTTTTCCCTCAGAAATATCAATAGCAGTATTAATGTCACAATAGGATAATAAGGGCAGAGCGTAGCGTAAACCTTATCTCTAAATACGAATCTTTTCTTTCTAAATCTCTGTTTTGGGACTAACTATCCCATTTCAATAAATTTTTGCACAGATAATTCATTAAGTGTGCATATACTATTTATCGATCTAGAAATAAGCACAAGGCAGACTGCTGCAGTCTGGCACTGCCACGCTCTTATGCTATATCATGGTTAGTTGAGCTAGACGGGGGATGCACCACGCTCTTATAAAATAGCTGCGTAAAACAGTAGCTTTATGCTGCTTTGTTTCGTATAATGAATGTAGAAAACCGCAGACCCTTTTTATTGGCAACAGGCTTTCCATCTTAGTCGTCACAGGTGACAACGTATCTGCATTTTGATTCGTAATCGAGGATAGATGTAGATGTCTATGGGCCACTACATCCACTTACAATCAGGTGGGCTGTACGCTCCTTTGTCAATATTATGATATAAAAACCGCTATGCTTCGCCCCAATACATTTATTTCAATAAAAACTCTGCACACTTTGTCCGAAATACAGACATACTTTTATATACCTTACACTTTATCTGTTAAAATAGTTGAAATGTTACAGGTTTTGTAGTTGAGCTCTTAAATTTGACTGAAAACTATTATAAAACTCTATTCTCTCTTTGTTTTAATTCGAAAGACGTAATAATTGAATTTCGAATACATAAAATATTTGTAAAGTTTCGTAAATTATTATTTACGAGTATAGATTTCTTCTTTTCTGGCTTTCATTTCTGGCATTATGCTTGCTTATTGCTTGTCAATTAATTTTATATATAATCGAATTGCGTTTTTCGTATGGTCGATTTCATACATATGTTAACATTCACTAACGTTCAAAACAATTATTGTTTCTTTATAAAGGAGGAGCAAATGAAAATGTGGATCACCTGAATATACGCAATGTAGTCCTTAAACGACCTATTGTTCTAATCATCATTATCATCATTACAACCCATTAAAATTCCGCTGCTAAACATAGGCCTACCCCAAGGTATGCCAAAAAGAACGGTCCTGAGCCTGGTCTATCTAAGCCTAAGCACAATCCTGAGCCTGAGCCTGGTGGATCTAAGGCGTGGGCCTTCACTGCTGTACCACTTATAAAAAATATTTATTATCTGTGCGATTACAGAGTGGGATTCAAAATGGCTTAACCTGTATTCACCTCTCGCTCTCGCTCGCGGCACCGGTTAAGAGGGCAAAAATAATACTTTACCCCCCGTGACCATGGGTGCTGTAAAGCACCCGAAACGTCGAAAATTAAAAAGTTAAATTAAACGCGACGAAATCCGTAAAAAAACATATGTATCGTGTGAAACGTGAGCGAACGAAGCTCGGCCTATGATCTGGTGAAATTGACACGGGGTTATTATCTTTTTACAACGAAATCGAAATACTACACCTACCGCAGTATTTATTTCAATATATTTTGTTTTTCCTTTGGGTGCCATAATTACCAGGCTGTGCGCTTACTCTGGAGCATGCCACATACAACTGACCTTGGGAGAAGCAGCTTTCTCTCAAGTCTACTTCCGCTAACTTAACAGTTTGATCTTGAGCTTTATTTATGATTATGGTTAATCAGAATTTGATAGAAAACTGCACTCTCTTGAATCAACCAGTCAGCATAGTTGCCTCGATCTCAATGCGATGCAATGTATTCACTTGCAACAATCAACAATCTGGTACCATTGCATAATTTTAGTGGATTTAAATTGAGTAGCAACATAATTGTTGCGCCAACTGGCAATTTTAATATATGAGTTGGAAGATCGGGAGTATTCAGTGTATTCAGGAACTCTACTGAGTAATGAATGGCATCATTAGTGTGTCAATAATTATATTATGTATCAATGTTCCGTCATTATATACGATCTACTGGATATAGGTTGTGCTTTTCTTTTAAAACTTTAGCTGTCTTAGACGTTATTTAAAGCCTCGGTTTTCGAATCGTCTTTATCACGAAATAAGTGCGTTGCCGCGGCGAAACGCTCTTCGAAAAATTTGACATTTCCACTTCTTTATTTAAATGGACTGCACTTTAAACTTGCGAGCAATTATAAATTATTTTCTGTATTAAGATAGAATTTATTAATCAGTTTGTTGGTTTTAAGATTGATCAAGTAAAACTGTGATGTTACTTCAGCATAGAACACAAAGTCAATTTTTATGAAGCACTGTATTGTAGTATATAACGTAATAAAATTCAGATGTAAGTCATATAGCGCTTAGCTAAAGCGCAGCTGGTCGCCTGTTGGATTTCCGCATGGGAAAGTGTTTGTATTCCATACGAATATTTGATTAAACTCTGGATATTTATCTATACACAATTAATTTTTAAAGACCTTTGCGAACCGCGCACAGGACTTCGTTATAAAGATATTTATATAGTCATAATTTTCACTCATAATAATTCATAGAGAAACATTAAATTACTGGTAAAGCCTAGTAGTTCATTTTTATGAAGAGTCGCTTAGTTTAGAAACAACAAAAAAGTTATATCAATTCTCATACTCGCATAAAATACCAGCTTAATTAGCTTAATACTATTGTGTTACGTATGGTGAGTTTAAAGAACCGGAGACCCATATTTACTGGAAACGAGGCATTCCATCTCAGCTCTCAGGGGCGACAATGCATCTGAATTTTAATTCTTAATCGAGGATAAATGTTGATTGGCTATGAGAAACAGAATCCACTTACTATCAGGTGAATTGTGCGCTCGTATATCATCCGATTCCTGAAAGGTAAAATATAAAGAAAAACCAAAACACTTATGGTTAGCACGAATAAGTCGGATCGACCAGGAAAGTACCATGCTCTCACAGAATACCAGCGTAACATAGCAGCTTAGAGCTGCTGTGTTTCGTATCGTGAGTGTAGAGAACTGGAGACCCGTTTTACCGGAATCGAGGTATTCCATCTTATTTCTCAGGGATGAAAACGCATCTGAATTTTGATTCTTAATTGAGGTTAAATGTAGATGTCTATAGGCCACAGCATTCACTTACCATAAGGTTGATATTGTGCTCGTTTGTTACCATTATTCTATACAAAAAACATACTTACATTTTGAAAAAAATAAATAAATAAAGCATTAGATAATGTCATAAAAATAACACAGTGAAAGTATTTTAAATGAAATAACAGAAAAACAAGGGGAGACAGAAATAAAAAGTCTATACTCCGAGTCGGGGGACGGATTTGTAATGATTAACTTAATACGAATGAAAAAATTGGTTGACCTTGCAGGTCATCCCTAGAACTTTTTGCTAATTTCGGATTCCGCTTAGTTCATTTCAATCGGTCAAGCCGTTCAAAAGCTATCAGAGGTATACATACATACATCCACACACACACACACACACACACACACACACACACACACACACACACACACACACACACACACACACAAAATACACGCATGCGCACGAACACACACACACACACACACACACACACACACACACACACACACACACACACACACGATGTTTTCGCTTACAAATTCGGCGTTTGATTGATATGCGACATATTTTATTACTGTGATTATAACCGAGACAATTAAAACAAAGGGCTAGTGATTGAACAATATTTCTTCTCTTATCAACATAAAGTTTAAGGTAAGATGTAATGCTTAGTGTTGCTTTTGGATTATTGTTTAAATTTACATAACTGACGCGAGTTTTACTTCTACTAGGTTCCACAAATTCTGATGTTTGAAATCTTGTTTCCTCTATGTGTTTCCTATATGATTCTTTTAGTTGCTTAAGCGTTGGTAATTCATCGGGCAATTGAATGACATACAATTCCCATTGTTTACGAGTTTTCACATTGTAACGCTCCCCCCTCTATATAAATAAATATGTATTATACTAAATATATAATATATAATTAAT